CCTACAAGTTTACTTTCTATTGTATTAAAAGAAATCTCATGATTCTAAATGGAAAAGTCATCCAGATTTTTCAACAGCTCTGATTAAATTTTAGCAATCAGTTTGGCCCTGTTCTCCATACATATTATGAATTGTCAGATAGTATTAAATTTATTGATGTATGTTTTTAGATATTAAACTCAGTAGCCTGTTCTGTAGTTCCAAATTTATCATCTCTCCCGTCTAAAAATAAGTTTTAATAAAATATTTTTTCTATGCTACAGTCTGAAGATTATTGGCAATGTTCAACTGTATTTACTTATTGTACACTTACTTAAAAATAGATATCCAGCTTTTAAAAAAAATATTGATGCTTTTTGTGCATAAAAGTTTGCCTAATGATTCTAGAAAGTTTTACTCTATTGCATAAAGTGATGTTGCCAAACTCCGATTTGTTTCACAATTACTCAGGATCACCATTCAGGAGGGACTTTATTTTTCTTTTCCTAGAAGCATAAAAGCAACCTTATAGAAAGTAGGTTAAAAGATTGGTACATTTGAAATGATCTTAAAAAATTTAGGCTTAAGTCCTCAGTAATGTACATTTCCTCGTTCATTAATGCAGAAATACCGCACATAGATTTTAATCTCAGAGTTAATAATAAAAGCAATTTTCACTAAAAATATAAAAACTGTAATGGTAGAATCATGATATTGCATTTAGCTCTCCCACAAAAAGTCACTTTATTACTTTCTTTTGACACTTATTTTCATTCTGGGATTAATTTTACTATATAAGGGCTTCTTAACTATTCTATTAAAATTTCTATTCAGAAGCAATAATATCTAAGAGTGAATAATAGTCATGTAAATCATTATTTCATATTAATGTGAAAGATTTTGTAAGTTCTTATGAATTCTGCTGACATGCACAATTGTGAAAAGGTTATCTCTCCTTTCTACAGTGATATGCGCTGGAACAAAGGAACCATTCTAAAAGCATCAGTGGAGTACATCAAGTGGCTACAAAAAGAACAACAGAGAGCTCGAGAATTAGAACACAGACAGAAGAAATTAGAGCAGGCTAACAGGCGCCTTCTACTCCGGATTCAGGTTTTTATAAGAACATTGCCATGAACCATGTAGCTTACATATGACTTATCCATCATCAGTTTTATTCATTGGTCTCATTTATTTTTTTCTCATTAACAATTATTTTTTCTTCCCAAGGATAATTTTATTGCCTTTTAGAAGTTCATGAATTAGATTGATTCAATTAGGTTTTGATTAGAAATCTAGGATCAAGTTGGCTTTAAAAATATATAATGAATGACAATAACTAATTGCAAAAATGCAGAAAATAGAACCAATTTTATAAACACACAAATATTATCCCAGTCAAAAAATAATAATAAGCAGAACCTTTGTTTCTCTGGATAATATTGGACATTAAGTTCTCCTCTCCCCCTTTTATTTCTATAGTAACATTGCTATGGATTTCATTGCCTTAAGCCATATTATGCCAGTTTATATTGTCACTCCTCATCTGTTCATGTGACACAAAATCTTAGAATATAGGTTTTCATAAGCCTCAAGATTTTTTCTTTAATATGTGAGCAAGCTTACTGCCAGGTAAAACACTCCTGTTTCCATGAAATGGACCTATAGAGAGAAATTAATCAGGAAGAATGACTGGAATATTTCCACTATCTCCAAATAGTTGTACTGTAGCCTGAGCCACTATGGAACCATTGTATGTCATGTATTCCTTTAACGAACAATCAGAGTATTTTTTAAAAATCTGAGTATTTTCCTCAGGGTTATTTTTCAGGCATTAGAAATATACCACACTCTGTTATTTGCAAAGAATATTTATAATATGTATTAGTCTTCATTTTGAGTGCTTGTTAATATTTTAAATCTATTTGTGGCTTATTCTATAGAGTTGAGTTTACTTTCAAAGTCATTATTTAATTATTCTTGTTTGAAATTGCAGGAACTAGAAATACAGGCTCGTGCTCATGGTCTGCCAACCCTGGCTTCACGTGGCACAGTTGATTTAGGTGCTCACATCACCAAACAACAGGCCCATCTTGAGCAGAATTCAGTAGACTATTGCCAACAATTGGTTCTGTCTCAGGGGACAAGCCCTGAGCTCTGTGATCAAGCTATGGCCTTCTCTGATCCTTTGTCACACTTCACAGATTTATCATTTAGTGCGGCTTTGAAGGAGGAACAAAGATTGGATGACGTGCTACTGGATGACACAATATCTCCATTTGGAACAGATCCTCTGCTATCTGCCACTTCCCCTGCAGTTTCCAAAGAGAGCAGTAGGAGAAGTAGCTTTAGCTCAGATGACGGTGATGAGTTATAAGAAATAAACAGGCTCAGTTCATCAACTGGGAATCAATTCTATGCTGGTGCCACACAATGAAGTTCTGTGTTTCATATATTGCTTTGGCTCAATTTTTCTGAAAGGAATATATTGTTCATGAAAAACTGATTGGTTAGAAACAACAGAATTCACAGGAAAAAGAAGCACAGTGTCGAAGAATTATTAAGAGCAAAAAAGATTTTTTTTCTCTTTGACTACTGAGTCCAAATCTACTTAAATTTTGTTTTCCTGGAAAGAGGCACAACATAAGAAATAGCTCTCTACTGATATTTTAAAAGTAGTGACTTGGTGGTGTACTATTGGAACTAACAGACTGCAAAGAATAGACCTTCTGAAATATACATTTTCTTACTTCTGTCTCCTTCCTATTCAGCTCTGACAATGTTAATTTTCAAGAATCAAGATCGACAGATCTGGTTGTTTATTGCCTTTTTTCCACTGTCTGGGGGATAGTTATCTAAAGTTCAAGCCTTATAGGGGAACTAATTAAAAAATAGATTATCTACCACTTATAATTGAAAAGTGAATCTACAATAAACATTAGAATTTTCCACAATAAAATACAGAAAATTTATAAAAACTTAGGATTCTAAAATTAGACTTTAATTCCCTTGGTCAGTTCAGTCACACTAACTCTAAAAGCATCTTTGCATATTTATGGAGACATGCTCAGTTCAGAAAAAGAACACATTGAATACTGTCCTCAAGAATACTGGCTAGAATTGTTATCGCTTCACACAAGCATACCCACCGCCCCCCCCAAACAGGTACACAATGCAGATAATACATGTTCTTTTTTTTCCCTTCATTCTTCTGATTTTCTAATCAGCATCTGAAATTACACTCCAAATCCTTTTTACTTTATCAAGAAGAGATATTGGATAATCAGTTTCAGCAAATAAAATATCGAAAGCCCCCCTACTAGGACAATTTGTTAATTTGTTAAATAAAACTTATCACTGTTTCCAAAATTGGATTTAAATTAATTAGTTGATACAGTTTTGCTCCAAATTGATGAAATACTGAAAACTGGATTGCCAACTGACAAAATAATTAGTAAAACAAAAAATCTTTCTTATTACATTCAGCTCTGAGCAGAGGATAAAGTTCTATTCCTGTGAGTACTTAGAGTACCCTACGATCTGTGTTAGACTTGTTAGCATTTATTATTTATATCTGTGGTGCTTCACTCAAATTTTTCTCTCTTGAGCTTCTTCAAAGCATTGGGAATTGACTTACCAAGGATGTTACTCTGTGCTAGACCTGCATGAATGATCATCTGATCAATGAGTATTTATGGAGGGATACTCAAAACTGCAGTAAGTTCTGTGAAAATATAGAACAGATGAGCAAAATAGGGTCTTACTCCTCAGGGAGTTAAAATTACTGCATGAGAAACCACAACAAAAGATAGAAGACATTTAAAATTAAAGCCTACATGGTGCAGCATAAGCTGCAAATACAGGAGGTCAGAAAAACTAAAAATGAAGATTGGAGAATCACAAAAATGTGTGGGCATAGCACAATTTAACTTCTTTTGAAAAGCATACATTTGGTGGAGGGGAGGCTATACAGGTGAATAATATCAACCAAATGATAAAAGCGAGAATAAGTTGGGGAAGTGTCTTCATGATACATTCATTAGAAAGATCTGACCACCCTAGAAGACGCCTGTTCGGAGTCCTGAAAAATACTGGCAACAAGTTATGAAACCCCTTGAAAACCAAGATGAACTGATGTAAGCAGGAATAGATTTTTTTACTAAGAGGAAGAAGCCTAAAAATTAAAATGCTACTGTATATTACTAATGTGATTGACATGTAATCTTTCATGAATATTAACTTTGGGATAAACTTTTGAAAGCGTGCTTCAGATATTACATGAAAAATACGTCATCACAAAATTTGAGATTTTAATGCTAATGAAAGTGGAAAATATTAAATCTTTATGGTATGCTTATTATCTCAGGCTTAGCTTACAGCATTAGCTCAGAGTTTGGAGAATTAAAATAATTTTCATTTTTTGACATGAAAAAACTCTTAATTTATAGGAATAGTTGTCAAAGCCAGATAGATAAATTCATCTGAAATAGATCACATGAAAGAGAGCCATAAGATACATTTCCTCAAGAATTTTCAAGAGAACATTATATACTTTATGACAAAATTCCACTTTATTATCTGAGTTGATAAGTTAACATTGCAAATCATAGAGAAGAAATATATCTTGAAGTCAATGGAAAACACATCATTCTAGATAGAGGCTGATTTCTGTTCTCATTTTATACATTATTCTAATTTCTTCATATTCTGAGAAAACTTACACTGAGGATTTCTTTACTCTGTCATCATATTCCATTCTGCTAAAATACTACTACTCAGCCTTGAAAGCCATTTCTCATAATCTTAGCTAGTGAATGGCTTGACACAGGATGGTAGAGTCTGGTTGAAGGAGATCTGGAAAGGGTAATATTTGCTACTAGTTACAGATTATAATAACTATCAGCGGATTATAAAACAGGTAATGGATTTTTAAAGACAGCGTGAAGAGTAGTGTTGTGTCACAGTCAACTGAAGTAGATTAAAAAATTAATTTTAGTCATTAGTTCTTAACTTTTAAGGCCTTAAGAATCTATTGAAAGTTATAGACTTTCTCCCTGGAAAAATACAGAATGTATATATATAGCCCAAAATTTGTATGTGTTAAGAGGTGTGGGGGATCTCCTGAATATCTCCTTGGATCCCAGATGAAGAACTCCCACATCAGGTCTGTTGCTCAATTGATAGCATAGTAGCTGTGTATCTATCAAAAGCTAAGTGTACAGTTAATGTCATATGTAATGATGGAGGAGGGAGCCCTAGTTATCTGAATATCATTATCCCAGCCCCAGAAATGATAAGGTTGCATAGGTAAGTGAAAGTGTACCAAACACTAAACTATTCACTAAAGAAGTTGTTTACTTATAAAGTAGCCCCTTTCTAACATCCCCTGTTATATATATGCCTCTGTTATATGCTTATACATTTATGGGTCAGTTTCTCTATGATACATAGATGTTGTAACCAACCATCTGACAATAACATTTTAAAGTTATATAGATATATATAACTTTATATATATATATAAAGTTTTATATATATATATGTAGAAATAATGTAAATTCACAGGCAAATTATTTGAATATCTAAGAATCAAGAGTGATCCTTGGGAAAATTGGTGCCTACAATATGTTTTCAGAAATGAGACTTACAGCAGTAAAAGAGGCATATTGTTTACCAAATAATTTTGTCACAGAAAATATCAGCTACCACTGAACTATTAATACACAATTAACCGAGCCTTGTTCATTCAAATAATTATTACATAATTTCTATATTAATAAAAACTTTGTTAAAAATTAAATAAAACAATTTAAAAATTATTTTTAGTTATCTTTTCAAGATAAGGTCCCATGCAATCTTTTTTCTCTAAAATATTGGCTTCCTTTTTGTGGACTCACACTAAACAACCTTTCCAACTCCCAGTTGTCTTAAAATAACAAGGGCCTCTTACGAGTAGATGTAGCTTTTCATATTTTTTTCTTCTTAGTGTCCTTTCTTATTGAATTTTCCCCATAACTGGAGAATATATATACAGATCATATTTTCTCAGTTTACAGATGTGAAGTCAGTGACTATAGCTTTCTAGATGTAGGTACAAAAGCTCTAAATAATAAATAGCCAGATGAGCTGGGGACATTGAGAAATAGCCTTTCTCCTCCTTTTTTAACTCATTCTTTTCCACTCATGACTGTAAATAAAATAGTTAATAGCTCTTACTTAAAAAAAAAATAGACATAACGAGTTTCTTGATTGGTGTGCTCATTTACCTTCATTGTCAGGGGAGAAGTTCGATTACACAAGGTAAAAAAGAATTTATTTTTTTCTTTGTTTTGATAGATTGAGCCATGCTTGAATTTTCTTATACTTCAAAGTATCATGAAAATATTTTTTGCTGCTCTGGTATCATGGAATTTTGATATTTAAATAAATGGCATAACTAAATGTTCCAATGCTTTTACAATATCTCTAGGCTGATATTTATCGACCTTATAATATCTAAGATGTAGATGAAAACTGGAATCAATTAATCTTTCGCTATGTTATCAACACTAGATCAACCATCTGGGTTTCTTGAAAATACCTGAAGGATTGAATTTTGCTTCAGTATTGATAATGGCACAGCCTATATCTGCTACATGGAATTACATCCTTTGCCCTTCTGGTGCCCTGCCTGTTGATAAATACAAGATGTCAATTTGAGTTAGTGTAAGTTACATATACAGAGATTTCATTTCATTTACTTAATAAATACTTAACACATTTAGAGTGTTGCTGATCTAATGCATCTTGACCTTTCTGTAATCATTATTCATTGTATACACCAATATCTTATCATTTGTATGATTTCTAATTTGTAAACAAAGTATTCAAAATGATAAAAATAGTTTTCTTAAAATTTTTCTGTGCTACATTTGTTTTCTGTGAGAGTCATAGAGAATTTTAGTATATAGGAGATCATCAGAAAATAATTATTTTGATTAAAAAACCTCCCACTGGATTCAACCAATTTAATGATGAAATACTGCTATCTGCTGCTTTATACGTAAAAGGGAACTTTTAATCTTTTTCTTGTAAACGGATCTGTGTATGTATTTCTACATATCCAAATGATTTCTATTGTGTTTTCTACTGATGAAATCTTCAGTAATATATCTTTTTTCCTACATTTATCCAACATGCTTCAAGAATAAAGTTAAAGACTTTCGTGTTTCCAATTCTACCTCTCCTATTCCTGCACTACCATTTTATTTCAAAAGTTCTGTATTTTCAACTTTGCTTTTGCCACAGAAATAAATTTTATTTGTACATCGTTTAAAGCTGGTGATTATATATAACAAACGAAATAGGAAATATGCAAAATATGCTGAAAGAATTATATGCAATCAGGAAGTTACATATTATATTCTTTACTTCATGGCTACTGAAGTTTAAAAGCTAACTAAATTCAAGGATCTCATCTAAAAGCACTGCAGTTGCTTATGGCATACAAGGCTACAATTAATTCAGCTATTTAATCTTAATAATCACAATGTAGTTAAAAATCTTTGACTTTAATAGCATTTTATATATATGAATAGCTGAAGTAATATTCCTATAATTTTAATCTAACATTGGTTAGATCAAGAAAACATTGTTAGTATAATAAGACTGTAGAATTTATAACTATTGCTATTTTTCATTTTTAATAACAAAGTAATGTCTTATTTTCTAAGAAAATAGCACTGGTGTTCTCTAACACATAAATGAATGCTTATACACATACTTTTAAAAAATGTACCAAAATTTTCTTTGCATATGTATAAAATGAAGGCATAGAATCATTAAATGCTTTAACATACTTTTTGTTCTGCCTTTGTGTATAGATTGCACTGGAAAATATAGAATGTGGGTTAATCATCTGAAAGGATACTTAACAGCCATGAGACTTCACAACTGACAACTGCTTACTTCATAGT